CTGTACTCTTCTTTGGAAGAATTTCTGTTCATGACTTCTGCCCATTTTTAATTGGATCATTCACTTTTTGGATGCTGAGTTTTATAAGTTCTTTCCATATTTGGATACTAACCCTTTATCAGATATTTCATTTGCAAATATCTTTTCCTGTTCTGTAGGCTACCTTCTAGTTTTATGATTTCCTTCACTGTGCAGAAGCTTTTTATTTTGATGTAGTCCCAATAGTTTATTTTTGCCTTAGTTTCCCTTGCCTCAGGAGACATATCTAGAAAGAAGCTGCTACAGCTGATAATATACTGATTTTTTTAGTTTCAAGCTCTTGCTCAGGTTGCCAGCTGGACACACATCAGAGTGGAGGTTTTAGGAAGCATTTGTGTACCTTCTCTGTGTTATGATCGTAGCTCCTGTGTTACCACTTCTTTTCAAATTAGACTGCCAAATATGGCAACAAGTACCTAAAATGAAATTTCAGAGTTAATGAAATATGAAGTCATTCTTTCATTTTTTTTTTTTTTTTAGGGCTTCCTTGTGCACCACCAGAATATGTGGTTCCACATAGTTTTCCTCTTCACAAAGCAGACACTTACCAGTATGGAGAAGAAATAGTATACGAATGTGAAGAAGGTTTTGGGACTAATGGATCTGCGTCTATAAAGTGTTTAGGAGGAAAATGGTCTCATCCACCAGAATGCATAAGTACAGTGTATTTAATTTTACTCTAAAGTTGATCAATATTCTTAATTCAGAGCATAAATGGTACAAATATGAAACCAGGCAGTAATTCTAGAATTTAACAAGGTATCTCTGGAAAGTTGTGGAGTCTGGTAGAGAATTAATAACCCTACTAATAATAAAAGTGTGACAGCATGAGCCCAAATTATTTCACTTTCACGTCACTTCATGTGCACATTCGACATCCTCTGATACACGTCCACAGACTCCTCCTCTCCGTGCCTGGATCACAGCTGGTCCCTGCTCAGCAAGCTCATCATTATTCAATTTACTGTTAGTTTATCAGTTATCTCCTTAGAAGTATATATTTTCTAAGATATTTGATATAATTAAAAGTAACAGATTTTGACAGAAACCAAAAATACAAATACATACATAATGTAGATGGCTCTTATGAGCAAAAAAGAATTTCAGTGGAAGAAATGTGATATCAAGCATTACATGTATCTCTACCTTTTCAGACTTCCCATATCATCGTCCCCATATTTAACTTTTGATAAACATAGGACAATTCAATATAATTAAGTCAAAAGACTTCTAACACAGTTTTTCAACTTATAAAAATTGTGTACAGTGCCCATTGGTTTGATGT